CTCGGCCGTTGATTGACCCATTAAACTTCCTTCCTCAGTGAGAATGGAGGAAGTTCCCACAGAAATAAAGTTTTAAAATGCTGATTTATGCGCGCCTGCTCGCCGCCTATTTTTTTTACCCCAGCCAAAAGTCACTTCCGGTCTCTGCTCTCCCCCAAAACTGTCTTCCTCTGGATTTTATGTGCAATTCGTTGTACCCCCGTTTTTTGGAAACAAATGGACATGTCCCCTGTGGGTCATTGGAGTTGGTACTCGGGTAAACGGACATCCGGTTTTTCAGTCTCGCAATTTTTGGACGATTCGGTGAACTATCTTGGGCTTTAAAAAAAATTACGCGCTAGCAACTTGGGAAATTCAACTTTCTTGAATAACTCAGTGATTTATTTTCACCTCATCTGGGGTAAAACAGCGGCCACATTTATCCCAGTTGATAAACCAATCGCCGATTCGAAATGATAATTATTTATTCATTTATTTATTATTTATTTATTAGGTTCGATTTAGCGGAAGTCCTCTCCTGTCTCTTCAAATAAGCGATAAATACAGATAATAATGATAATGATTTCCTCCTGAGAATTTCGGTTTGCCGCAATTAAAAATTTTATTGAATTTTATTAAACTCCAAAAATTTCCGGGGAAATAATTTCTTGTGAATTTTTTGAGGGAAATTTTTTAAACTTACCATCAAATAAATCATAATTAATCATTCATTACATAATCCTAATTGATTATAAATTGATTGATTGATTTATTTATGCTTGATTAATCTTGAGTCAATTATTTTAATTGACTCAATTACGTCAATTTGAGAATTAATAAAAAAATCGGTATGACTTCCGCAAAATTTTTCACCGAGCATTTCTCACCGCGCAATTTTCGAATAATTTTTCCTTCATGTAACCAACAATTTTGTTGTTTACGATAACCTATCGCTCGTGCTAATTCTGAGTGATAATAGGCGCATGCCAGGGGAACAAAATTGTTGGCATAAAAGTATCACATAACACCTCTAAGGAAATGAGAAAATAAAAAAGCCTTAGCTTCCGTTTCCATCAGAATTTCCAATGGTAATCAGTAAAATTACGTTTCAATTTCTAAATAAAAAATAACTTCCCTCACACTTCACTATTCAGCTGTTAAATGAATTATTTTATAACCGAGCGTTGGACAATCGATCAATCGCATTCAACGTAGAACAATTTTATTAAAAATCTCTATTAAATTGTCATTAAATAATTACATTAATCCCGGAGAGAATAAAATAATGAGTAAAAGATAGTAATTAGTAAAATGACTTGAATCCTCTTGTGTAATTATTACGATATCCTCCAGGCATTACAATTAGACAATTGATAAACAAACATGGCGGTATATAAACAGTATATTTGTTGAATTAATTGAATTCCCTCGGGATATTCGCGCGAGTGCAGAGTTAATTAATTACCCTGAGAAGCTGATGAACGTTTAAAAAATTTGGAGGGCACAATTGCAATTTTATCCACCAAGTGCGAGTTCGTGCTAATTCTGTTGAACGAAAAGGCGCATGTCCGCAGACTGAAATATATATTCGCAAAGTGGATCGATGCCAAGGGACAGAAATTCAGGCAAACAGTTGTGCACAAACGTTCATAGACAAATGAAAAAAAAAATTATATTGAAAATCCGTGATAGGCAATGACTTAACGTTATCACCGAGGCCATTTGCATTTTCAACTTGCAGTTATCAGAGTTATTCACGGTGTGAAACTCGGCAGTACCTTTTTGCCAGTAGAAATTGCCACGAATTACGAGTTGTTCGTCGATCAATCGATCAATAGATTTTTTTTGGCAAGCGACTAGATTCTGGTCGGCGGTAAATCGGGTGAAAAACAAAATGGAGTAAAAAAGGGGTGGAATTAATGGCAGAGTACATTTCCGTGTTTTGATCATGACCTACGCAATGACCGGGTCAAGGTCAACCCTCAGGATCACGCGCAGGCGATAGTAAGTGGAGTTTTTGTTCACTACTACTGGGATAAATAATTACTCTCAGAAAAAAAATGTACACTCGCCAAGTTAATTTTGTTGGCAGAAGTGAATTTATTCGGTGGAAGTAATTTTTTTCCTCATTCCATGGAAATTTACTAGAACGTTTGATATTTCATTTGAATTTTCCGTTGCGAGGGGTGAAATTAAATCTTAAGTGAAAACCTTCAGGGAATTTCTCGTTCTTCTTCAAAATTCAATTCTTCAAGTTTTGAGAGAGGAAATTAATTTAGCAGACGTAATGATTTTTCTCAGTGAAGACAGTAATAGTTTATTCGGGAGATGTCTCCAGCAGAACCGGTTTGAGCAGCTCTCAGAATAAAAACCGACAGCTTCTCAAAAATCAATTCTCATATTTTTTGTAATGAGCAAACACTATTAAAGCCTCTGTCGTTTTAAAAAAAAATGCGGTATCATTAAATATTCAATTCCTGTTCGTTCCTCTCAATAATTTATACCGAAGAAAAAAAATTTCCACGCAGAATATTCCTTCAAATGTTCTTACTCGACAATTGCAAATGCGTCCACAATTACGCGATATAATCACACAATTTATGAGAGACCGGTATACAACTGAAATATATATTAATTAAATAAAAAATGCAATATGTCACATAAATTTCACCGATGATAATTAACACCTATATTTTTTCATCTGAAATAAATACAACAAATGAATAATTTTATTTCTCATTTAAAAAAAAAAGCAGAGACTAATAAAATGATTCAGATTTTTTCGTCCCTTTGGTGCATGAATATTTTTAAAAGACATAAAAAAAATTGAACGGATGTTTGCTGTCCAGAAAAGCGAGAAAGTTTATCTGAGGGTTGCCCTCGTATTCCTGAAACGAATACAAAGCAATTGCATGTTGATGCACTCCAGTAATAAACTGGCATTATTATGAAAATTATTCCTCCCACTGTTGAATAATCGAGAGTTACTTGTCGGTAGCAACTCCAATTGCATTGCATGCAGCCTCTGCGTAAATAAACTAAACATTTATGGTTTGAGAAACGAGTGAAATGCTTTTCCGCAATTGTTGCGCAATGAGATCCTGATGGCTGTCGAAATGACGTTCTCCTTCGACATAACGTGAATCACAGTGGAAATGAGATTTACGAGTGTCTCCCATTACATGAAATTTTCCTTTCTTTGATCCAGGGATTTTCTCCTTCCAGTCGTCTCAAACTGCATCAACTTTAATGCGTTGACATCTGCCAACAACTCGTCATTATAGAAATGACAATAATTTTCTCCTGCCAGTCATGCAGCTGGACAATTAACATTTTCGTTGGAGGACGTTGAGTATTGTAAACTTGATTCAATGGTGCCTTTCTAACTGTTATTTTAGATCCAATGATTCAAGTCTATTGGAATTAATCTTCCCATTGTCCTTGATCATTCCTTTACACATTATAAATTAATTACCACGTGCAGAATAATTCCAAGTTTTTATCAACTTTTCTTACATTTTTCCCGCATTTCATAGTGCGTGGAATAAAAAACAGGATTCAGACGGAAATTTCCGCACAGAAAACGGCATTTCATTATTTTTTTATCAAATCATCTCGACGGACAACAAAAAATCCACAAAATTCGCAACAGCTTGCCCGAAAAATACTCAATCATTTTTTTTTCGCCGATGGTATAAAATGAATATCTCCCGCGTCGGCGAATTCTTTCATGGAAAGTAAAAGGAAGAACTTGAATTATCAAAACCCTGGAAGCAAGGACAATGATGTCCGACGGATATTTATGATAAATTGACCGTATCCTGTGGAACTCTGATCAATCAATCTCCCGATATCATCAATTTGCAGACATCCATTCTTCACCTCTCACAGAAACATTGGTTCAATTTTTTATTCTGTTTCCGCACACTTGTACGTAATAACAAGAATTGAGTAGAGTAGGGGACCATCGGCCAGAGACTTCTGAACTACTCACTGCCGATCTTTGTTGTCAGTCTTGCATGGAAAGTGTATCGGTGCAGTTTTAGTTGCAGAAATCCATACGAAATTTTTAGCTCCATCTGTATTTTTATATCTCATTGTGAGTGTAATAATTTTTTTAAATAAAACATCTCGATAAGTCATTCCCATGATTGATCAATTGAATTACCAATGAATTACTCATGAATTACTAATGAATTACTAATAAATTAGTAATTAGCCTTCACTTACCATTGACTCGCCATAGACGTTTATTATATTCCCAGCAATAATTTCTCCTTGGTATCATCTAGACTAGGAAACCTCAAGAATTTATCCTCCTGGAATAATCCACATCCGTCCGCTCGTTCTCTCGTACTCCAGATTGACAATGAGTGTTCAATAAAAAATTCAGATTATCCTGACGTTGAATCACTGATTGGCGTCTCATTAATTCAAATAGCCCTAGATCGATGAGACGGTGGTATTTCTGGGTGAATTTATTTTTGTTTCTAGTGAATGATGCAGGCAGTGGATAGGATGGAGCAAACCGTTGGTTGGGCCGCAAAGGATGTGCCTGGGTGCAATGACCTGGAGTCATTGCTCGTCAGTATCAAGCGAACTGGTGCATCAGTGGATAGTGACCTGGACAGCGGTTACCAGGACGTCGATAATCGATCGGCAACTCCAGGAACATCCAAGGATTCCCAGGAGTCTGACACTGATTCCATCGACAAGGACAGTAATTCGGACAGTGAGTCGGGGAAACAAAATTCTAGAACTCCTGTGGATGAGAATGTGCAGCAGTTGATTTCATTTCTCAATGTAAAATTACCGGACAACTGGGATACCCTGGAGAAGATGGACCAACTGAAAAAGGTCAATGAATATATCCATCAATATTGTCCTAATGTACCGGACAGTCTGATTACTAATGTCGCTGGTCATCTTGTACCTGATGACTCGGGAAATCTTCCATCTGACGTACCAGATTGGCTGGACAAGGAGAAGTTCACCAGGGGTCAGCGCCTGGCCAGGGACAATATTTTCGGAATATTCTTCTCGGAGGCGTTGTCCTTGTACACTCTGTACTCCTTCGACAACGGCCTCAAACCCATCGTCATGACAGGCCGATCATCAGATCCTTATACTTCCTTCAAAAGGTAATTTACTGCGTCATAAACATTGAGGGCTAAAAAATCTGATTGACGAGAAGATAAAAGCGTAAGATATTATAAATATATAATTGAATATATGGAGGGTCTAACGGTCATCGATTTTAAGACTTTAAAAAGTTCAAGGACGAATGAAAAATCATTTCGTTATTCTTTCTCATGATTGGATATCGAGTTTAATGACAAAAAAGTAATTACAGAAATTATGCAATCCAGGAGATTGGAATGTCAGCGGGTAATGATGAAATTCATTCACAGATTCTTGTCGACAGCGAGTAGAGTGAGAAATTGGTTCACCAGTGATCCCTGGACCAAGGGAACACCAGCTTACAATGATATCCAGGTAGTGAGGAGTCTGCACACCAGTGTCAGGAAGACATTGAGGAATATGTCGCTGTCAGAGCTGGATAGGCTTGCAAAAATAAAGGATCCGTTGGCAGAGAGGACTGAGATCCTCCTGGAGGACTTCAGATCGTCCTGTCCCGCACCCAAGACTGGTCAATGCCCTCATATGATGCCGGGAATAAAGGGCAACAGGCCCCGTGGCTTGAACCAGGGGGAAATGGGACTAACCATGTTTGGATTCGTTGGACTCCCAATTTTGTTCCCCGAGGCTTTCGGCATTCATTACTCGAGTGAGCAAGATCTTGATGACTTCTGCCACCTCTGGAGGGGATTGGGTTATCTCTTGGGAATTTCGGATGAGTGAGTTCTGAAAGTATTACATTAATTTGGAGATTAATTGCTCGTTAATGGTGACATTTTGAGGATTAATTATTCAAACTGCTAATAACAATGACTATAGTTATAAATTTGTAGAAGTTTTTTTCGGTCGTTTTTTTTTTTGGTTTCACTACTCAATTCTGGACCTGAAGATTGAAACACATCTCTTCAGGATAATGAGAGAGCAGCGAATATTTTTCACAACGAGAAAAAGTTTCTGCAGGGCAATGTGCATTGTCTTTGGATTCAAATTTATTTATCAAACACTTGGCCTGAAGCTCTCGTCTTCTTTTACTACTCGATTTACTCGTGGAGTTTTTAAAATAATGAGTTTCTTACAGTGACTTCAAGTTTTTCAAAAAACAATGTTTATCTCTCACCAAAGTCTTTCTCAACTCGAATTTCATTCTGTTTTATTACTCAACTCCGTAACTCCGTAAATATCTTGAAATTAAGAAAGATTATCTCAAATTGTTCTCGCTGAGGAAGCCCCACAGCGAAATGATTAATTAAGATACCAGCGAGACGCAGATTTACCCCGAGAACTTGATGAACTCCAACATAATTTCCCGTCAAATACCACTGAATAGAAATAAATAAGGAGTAATTTTTCTGGTCAGTGAATACGAGAACAGAAAAAACGAGAGATTAATTTCATTTATCCCCGCGTTGGAGACAGCTGGTTAATAATGAAGAAGCGAGTTATCATTTAAATAATGAATTTCATGGATTGTCAGGTACAACTTCTGCAATGGAGGTCTGAAAGAGACTCAACAGCGTAGCCGGGACTTCCTGGACTACTGGGTTAAACCAAATTTCAGGGAAATACCCCCTGAATTTGAGCACATGATGAGGTGCGTCTACGAGGGTTTACATCTGTACTTTCCAGGCTCATCATACGACGCTTCATTGTTGTACCTCACGGATTTGATGGGTCTCCACATGCCGAGATTACGAGCATCCATGACTTATTCATCGTGGCTCAGATATTATCTCTCGAAGTAAGTTAGAATCCTGCGGGTATAAAACCACCAGGGAAATCACCAACTGTTCGATTAAAAATTTATATTCATTTCAGAACAATATTTTACTATTCATTCAAACTCAACTGGATAAAGTCGAGGTTGAACAGACGGATAAATAGTGCGATGGATCGAGCGTGTGCCTTCAACGAGGAAAAACACGAGGAGTTGAAAAAAAAATCAAAGGAAATAGTATCGACTTTATTGGAGAATCGTCATGACAAATCCAGTGACATTGACAGTACTAATTTATAGCACAAGGTGATCACCACCTGTTTGCACTTATTCGCAGAATACGTGTCTCAAGGTTTTTAATTTTTTAAAAGGGATACGTTTTTACATTCAATACCATAAAGCTATTGTCTGATTGCTGTGAATGGTCTGTGATATGAATAAAGAAATTTATTACGATTTGTTTATCGACTTTTTCATTGATATTTTATATCCACATATTATATTGTAATATATAATTACTTCTGGGATAATTTTTCTTTTTTTTAATGGTTTTTTAAGGAGTTAGATTATTTATTATTATAATTTCAGTGTAAGTAACTAGGGGATCTGCTTCATCAACCGAACGATTCTTCCAGTTCAAATTTGATTGAAGCCTAATCGATTTTATTGACATAACAAAACCCCCAAAATTTCCATTCGGGACCCGTGAATATTCCCCAAAAATTAATTAAACCCCTTTATAATTGCCCATCTAATTAATAACTGGAATGCAGCGCAAGAGTTCTTTGAGGGAATCCCTGAGTTTCGTCAGACCGAAGAAGAAAAAATTTGTGCAGGTAGAACCATTGAATCAGTCCTAATGAAATTTCCATCGACCTAAACGAAGAAAAATATTCTTTCTCAATTGAATGAAGGCCACACGATTACGGGGAAAACATTTATTCCGTTCAGCAGTGAGACGAGTGCTGGAGTACCTAGATTGGTTTACATCAACCCTGAGTGATGAGGAGCCCAAGGATGAAGTCAGCATCGCCCTGGCACAGCGAAAAAAGGGGGAGAAAAAATATTTAACGCTCGAGGTGAATCTCGTGAATCAATCACTGAAGTATTGAACTCAAATAGATTTATCCTGCAGGATCGTTCGTATTTATTGACTCGAGTAGATACAAGAACCAGAGAGGACAGATCCTACATCCTGGATCTGATAAAAACACTCAGAGCCTTCAGGAAATATCCAGAGGACGTGAGGGAGTCTGTCAGTGCTATTTGTGGATATCTGTACTTTGGAGAGAATCGATTGATCGTACGACAGCATGATCCTGCTCATTACTTGTATTACATAATTAAAGGAGAAGTTTTGTTGACGAAAATTGAAAGAGATCCGGTCACCGGTAAAATCTTTATAAATTGATGTGTCCTTTGTCTTCTAATTCTCCATTTTTCATCGCAGATGACGAAGTGGAAACGAGTGGAGGAACTCTCGGCCCTGGGGACTTGTTCGGGGAGATTGCTCTTCTCCATTCATTGCCGAGATCGACAACTGTCACCACAAAAAGTATAGACCTGAATTAGTCCAGGTAGCAATTGCTCGTCTTCGTGGGTATTAAAAGTTTTCTCAATTAATAGCCCCTGTGGATCTGTTCTACATCACCAAGTCGGATTTCGATAAGCTCCTGAAGAAGACTCTCCTGAAAAATTGGAATGTTCTCCAAGACGCTCTAGTAACGTTCAACTATTTCAAAACTTGGGACGAAGTTACTGTGAGAGAGTGCTGCATTCTCAGTAAAATAAAGGAGTTTGGGCCGAATGAGGTAATTAGGTGGATTGATTATCCCCGAGGAAGATAATTATCGTGATTTTATTTTGAAGATTCTTTTAGGGGATGGCAAGGGAATGGTCAATTATGTGTATTTTCTACTGTCTGGAAAGTGCCGGCTCATTGAACACATGATTATTTTTGAACAAAAATTCTGCAATCATGTTAATTACGAGCTGTACTGCCCCGAGAAGTACCAGGGATCGCGTCATGGAAGTCAGCGACAGAGTCACCGATTCCAGGGAAATGAAATGGTAAATGTACTATCCGAATAAAATTTCGTGAATATTTTTTTTTGATTGAATGAAAAATTCCGGTTTGTTCTCGTTTTGAAAATGGAATTAGGGAGCTGATGAAGACGAGTTGGATGAACCCGAGGTCCCGGATTATGCGGGAGTCATGATTTCTAAGCAACCTCAGGGAAAAATGGACATGGATCGTCACAGCGTTGTCACTACGACTCTTCAGGACGTGGTGCGTTGATAATTGCGTTGAAAAAGAGGAAATTCTGTGATTTATTCGTTTTCCTCATTTGAATTGTTAATTAAATTTGATTGTTATTAGATAAACCAATGGCATGAGATCACGGACGTCGCTGCGGCCTTGATGAGACAGCCCTCCACTGCCTCCCAACAGGCCCATCCGGAAGGTGTCAGAACAATATTTATGCAAGTCTGTGAATTCCAGAGGGGAGCGTGTTTTGGTTTAGGTGCATATGTCCACCTCCTGGAGAACGGGCGCAATACAAAAGCATTTTTTTTTTCTCGTAGGAGAGGAGATGAGGAATCGTCGAATCGTGTCGATGACACCAGTTCGATGCCTCCTAGTCCCTCGTTATTGGCTATTCGAACACAACCGGGGAAATATTTGGGAACGAGTGAAGCTCTTCATGAATATGAAGTACCCGTCCAAAGATCAGCTGTTCAACAAGTTCGTCACCGATCGTCGGTGAGCAATTAAATGTCAGTCGTAAAAATTCCTTTGATATTTACTTATAATACTCACATACAGGTGGATCAAGTACAAGAAAAATATGATGACACATATTATAAAAAGGGGTAGAAATATTTATAATAGAACTACCATTCATGACGTGCCTTATTCTATCAGGATCGATGAAGACATCGAAACTCTATAAGTACAAAATTTTACAGAATCTCACATAAAGTTAAGTACCTCCTTAAAAAATATACATTTTTAGACATTAAAAAAATGTTACAGTATTCTTAAAATTTTTGTGGCTGAAACAACTCTAGCCCAACAGTCAATAAAATATGAAGATTTGCACGCACATCGAGTGCTCGTTCAATTGAATAGTATTAAAATATTAATGGCACGAAGAGATATACTTCCTCACAGTAAATACAATAATCTCGTTCACTATAAAATTTCATTTAAATTCACCTGAACCACTTCCAATTCCAACATTAGAATTGACCGTTTCAATTATTAATTAATCGATTAAGTCGTAAATGGACGATTGAAATGATCACAAATATTGGTCTCAAAATAATCTCATTCACACCAGAACTCAATCTGAATTTATCCGAATTTATCAGAAAAAATTAAAACTCAAACTCTTGAAATTTGAGGCTGAAGATCAGTATTAATTAATACGTAACTAGGATTTGTAAAACTGTCAGGAGTTTCCTTCCTCAAATCATTCTTGTTCCTGGGCATATTAACGTAATTATCCTGAGTCCGGATAATCCCAGGATTGCAGTCACTCTTCCCCCTATCATGAGTCAGCCCGCCATCGATTTCATCTTCAATCTTCCCCCCCTGGTGATGAAAAGTCTTGATATTCCGTGGAGTATTGCAGTACCCAGAATCCCTCTCAGGCTTCTCCTTAACCGGACCCGACCTTGTCCTATTCATTGCTTGTCGTTGTTTAGCGAATTCCGCCCTGCGTTCCGCGACATTTATTGGCTGTAGATAATTATCATCCTCATCATTCTTAATCATCGGAGAGAGCTCGACAGTTTCTGAATCAGAGTCAGAGAGAATTTGCTCGTTGCGAGCCATTGGAAATTCGAAGTGGGTCACTTGACCTGGGGTTCGTGGACTGAAAATGTCAGTCTCATTTTTATTTACTGCCGGAGTCATACAGAGATAAGGATCATCAGCTGTACTAGCTGGTAAAGTCGGAGAATTGACGTAGTGGGTTGGTGAGGACAGAGCCTCATGGTCAGGGGCTGACATCATCGTCAAATAATCCTTCGTCATCAACATATTCATGTCCATATACGGTGTATTCAAGTCCACATAATGCATCTTCACACTGTCATCCAGCAAGTTTCCAATGCTATCAGCCAACTCTGTGAACGAAGGCCGAAGTGTAGGTTTTGCTTTCCAGCACTCGATCATTATATCGTAGACTTCGTCAGTAGCGTACTCAGGCTTTTCCATCCGGTACCCCTCGATGAGCTTCGTGTACTGCTTTTCGGCCTCCATTCCTGGGTATGGAGTCTTGGCAAGGGTGAAGAACTCCCAGAGAACAATTCCAAACGACCAAATATCTGACTGAGTCGAAAATACCCGATCTCTTATCGATTCTATCGCCATCCATTTGATTGGCAGAGGTGCATCACCCTTTTTCTTGTAATTATCATCTTTGTACATTGTCTTGGCTAGTCCAAAGTCGCAGATTTTTACGATATTGTCTTCTGCGAGAAGAATATTCCTTGCTGCTAGGTCCCCATGAAGTACCTGAAGAGAAGTGAGTCATAAAAATATTTCCTGAAGCCATTAATATGTGTTCATCATTTTAATTAATAAAAAATTATGTACCCTTCTTTGACTGAGGTACTCCATTCCTCTGGCCACCTGGAATGCCCAGGACAACAAATCCTGCGTGCAGATTGGCTTGAGATTGCTGTCCTTGTAATCACCCCGATAATTCGATCGCCACGCAGGCTGAACTGAATTATTGCTGAGTACCATTCCATCCGGTGACATGTTCACACCCTGGGAATCAGGGCCTGGACTGTATGGCCCTGAATCACCACTCGAATTCATGCTAAGACTGCGGGAAAATGATAATGCCGCATATTTTATCCTGACGATAAGAACGTAACAGGAACGTATTAAACCACAGACCACATGCAACCAGTCCCATCCGAGGTTTTTATAGCGTCAGTCCATCAATAAATCACCAGAAGACCATGAAATTAATTTGAAATTTAATAGCAGGCATTAGTTTTGAGTTATTACGTCACAGATTCTATGGAAAAATCTAATAGAAACTCTCTGTTTATTCCGTAAACTCGTCGAGAGTTTATGGAGAAATTTATCGTCACATTTTTCCTCTAGTCTTCGTTGAATTTTATTCTATTGAATTTTTCCATACACGCGGCAGAGGAATATTTTTAGTTAGCAGTATTGAGCTACATTGGAGTTATTTACACATTTCAGAAATTTATATCTCAAAAAAATTCACCTGTTGTTGCTACCAACGCTGAGAGTGCGATTCAACAACTCCAGTCCAATAGACACGTCGATTTTTCCCGTGGCTGGATCAATTTGATTGACGAAGTCCGATCTGTGTCGCAATAAATAATTATGCAAGTTACCGTATCTGCAGTACTCAACAATTACCAATAACTCCCCTGTAATTTATAAGAACGTTTATGAATGCATAATATCTTCTAGTTGATATTAAAGTGGACGGATACTAACGTTTAGCAATATTCTTGGTGCATGCGCCAAGTAGATTAACGACGTTCAAGTGCTTTCCAAGGTGAACCATGATCTTGAGTTCAGAGGCAAGTGCTCGAATGTGAATTGATTCTGTCGAGCGTTTCACCATCTTTACAGCAACTGTCGTCACTTCCTCCTCTTCATTAATTCCTTGGGCTTCAGCTTTCATTACAACACCGAACGCACCATGTCCCAATTGCTTTCCTATTCAGCGATAACGATTTCACGAATTAAAATCATTTCTAATTGAATCTAATTTGATTGACCTGTTGATAAAATTAATATTAAAAACAGAGAATGATTGATCACCGAATTTCAGACGTTCCCGAGGAAATTCCCATTTTTTATCATAGGGCAGAAGTTCGGCTTGATCATCAACCGTTAATTCTGGGTTCAGACACTCCAACGCACCCTCTTCGAAGTGAGTCAGACCTGCCTCCATCAATTGCTTCCGTATGACCTGCAGCATCAAATTCATTGAAACACTATCAGTGAGAATGATGTTTAAATTGATTGAACCACAGGGTCAATTGATCTCAATTTACCTTCTCCCGATGAACCTTTATAGAGAAGAAGACAACAAGAACAACGACGAGAACAACCAGAACAATAATCAGAATAATGAGATCCTTCGATACTTCCTTACTCTTGACTGTTATCTTCTGCCAAGAGGAAACTTCTCCCATTTTGTTCTTCGCGACACACATGTATGTTCCACTCACTCGCTCCGGCATGTGTCTAATATGAAGGGATTGATTTCTATTCATTAATGAATAATCTTCAGCGGCTGCAGATCCATTACGAATATCAATCGGTTTGCCATCCTAGAATCCAATTACATTAATTTGATAGAAATCATTTTCTTTAGTCGACTGACAGTAACAATGCACTATTTATTAATTATTCTTTATCTACCTTTAACCAGGTAATAACAGGCGAAGGTGCGCCTTTAACGAAACAATGTAAAGTCATAGCTTTCAAATTATTTGTTTCAACAATTTCTGATTTATTCAAGTTCGACTCGTTGAGCATACGAGGAGGTTGTGATTCTAGAAAGAGAAAATTAATTAATAACTCAATTAATAGCCCTGATTAACCGTTAATGAATGGGAATTGAAATTTGAAAGAATTGAAACTCTAATTACTCGAGTGATTCAAGTAAAAATAATTCTCTCAATTAATTGACGTTTTCTATTGAATTTTCTTTGAAGGAAAAATTGAATCGGGGAATTGTTTGATGCAATAAATTTTGGGGTAATCACCAAAAACACGAAGATGATAGCTTTCGTCAGTTGTTCCGCCTGAAAGCGTCTCTCCGTTACATGTATAAATAATACTATCAGTCATTTTCACGGATTTAATACGCAGAATATTCTGGTACGTAAATTCTGACTGAGTGTACACTAGGCTGATTCGATCGTTCGTTTCCATTTGTGATTTCTCACTCGTCCATTTCACCTCAGAAGAGTAATTATGAATTGGTGCGACACATCTCATCACTACATCATCTCCAGTGTGGACTTTCTCCTGTTCAGGTAGCTTAATACCGAATCCACTTTTCACCTCTGAAAAAAAAACCCATTGCGTTAGTATCCCTCCATTTATGGAGTAATTAGTATTCCAGAGCGACACTTTACCGGACACAGAAATTCTTTGGGCGGAAAAGTCACAACCGAATTCATTACATGAGGAGCAGTTGAGATATCCAATGGCATTGACCCACAAGCTGACAGTTGAAGAGGTGCCTGTCAATTTTTTTGTTTCAGTGGCATTCTGAAAAATATTCACTATTCATTATTCCCGTCCATCTCCGAAATTTCCTAGGATAATGAAATAAAAGAGACCAAAATAGACTTCCCCTTTTTTCATTCAATAATAATTAAAGATCAATTGAAATTTATTAAAAATAAATAGAAAAATAGATCTCTTCAGGACACTCCGACTCCGAATAAACAATTTATCCTTAAATTACGGAATCACTGACCGGATGAATCTCGATCTCGGAATTTAATGGTCGAAATGACCAGACTATGTCTGGTGCTGGATAGGCAGCAGCACGACACGTTGTGGTCATCCACGTATTGGGTAAATAATATTCATCAAGTGGAAAGTCGTCGACATAGGCTCTTGCTGTGAACAGACAAACCAATAATCAACAAACGTGTTATCACAAGCTGGAGGATCGATATAGAGTGTACCCTAGATCAATTACATGTGACTTCCAGATAGAAAACGAGTGACTTGTTGTTTTTAGGTGAGTAATCGTCCCCGTTGAAGCCACGCAGGACGTAGCTCCCCATGTCTGTGATCTTCAAGTCCTTTATCGTCAGTCTAGTCGACTCGGGTGTTGTCACAATCTTGTGTCTCGTTGAGGCGTTCACCTCGTGCTCTTCCTGCCGAGCATCGATGAATGTCCTGTAATCATTAAATTCCTCTGCCATTCCAATTTTCAACTCTAGATTCAGTTTTTATTTTCATACCATATCAGCACTGGAGCTGGATAAGCGTCCACTTTCACCACTAGTGTCAGTTCTCTCCCTTCATGCAATACATAATTCATATCCTCTTTCTGAGGTGTCAGGGTGATGAATTTGTTGTTGGGATCTGGTGGGGACATTTGTAATAATTTATATCAATTATTATTAGGCTGAGGCAATTAATGGTCCACTTGCTCATGAAAATGAGAAATAGATACTGCCACGTTTTTTTTTCCCCGTTTCAAGTCAAGTTCAAGTACGATCGCCTCTTTCTTATTAATTCATTATTTTCTAATAGATTTTATATTTTATTTAATTATATTTAATTACAACGAGCCTGACTAACCGTGAATCGTCAAGTGGGCTGTCGTCGATGCTTGACCGTAGTGTGTCATCAATACGCATTGATACTCTCCCGCATCTTCATTTCGGACATCAGTAATTTGCATTTCTGCGGTATACCTGCTCAAGGTCTCAGACAATTTTTCTGGATACGATTTGATCTGGAATCGGGGATTCTGGGGAGAGATATTAAAATTTTAGACTGAATACTGACTAGTCTGGATGAGGACTTTTTGAATCCTCAAGTTTGAAATTGATCGCTTACTTGGGGCACGCTCCAGTTAAATGTGTACGAGCCTTCTCCAGCTTTTATTTCAATGCTGCAATTCACTCGAAGTGTTTGACCAAGAATTACATGTTTCAGTGGAGCTTTATCCACGATCGGTGGTACGAGTTCCGGAGGGACTGGAGAAGATAAAAAGAATTGGAGATTAAAAGTTTTCGAGTTTGAAGAGAATTCCAAAATGTTCGTGACAGCTGTTGATTGTCGTTCCACGAAAACTGTTTTCTTATCTCAATTGTTATATCACTCGTTCGGAAAATAGATACTTCAGATTTTCTAGCTTTTGAAAACTCACCCGAGACATCCAGGATATACGTCACATCGTATATGTTCTCGTCAGTTTCTATTAAGCACGTGTACATGCCGTTATCGTGTAAAGTTGCGTGATAGAGTGTAAATCCGATTCTGGGATCGAATGACATTTTTTCACCGATTTCCGGTGTCTGTAAATTTATTCCCTTATATAATTCTGATAACGTGAAAAAATAAAAAAATCAATGCACCCTAGAAAATCTCTGGAAATTTCAGTCTCAATATCCGAATTTTAAATTACGAGTCTCAATTCAATTTTAACAATTAAACAATCAATTTTGATTAATCGAATTATTAATTTAAATTAATTAAATCATTGAAAATTCAATATCCAATTCAATTTTCAATAGATTCAAATGGATTATTATCTGAAAATCGATAATGACTTGAAATTTCAATTGCAATTTTCAAATTTTTATTTATGAATCCAGAATTTTACCGTGGCAGACAATTTTTCCAGGCGAACATGATAATCAGGCGAAGTCGGTCTACAAGGGAGGATTGCTGATTCGCCAGTCTTGATGTGAACATCACCAGACATTGACGCGAACAGAGACAAATTCGCTGAAAAATAATTACCAACTCATGAAGTCATTGCATTTTCGGAAATATTTAAGGCCCGGATGGACTGTCTAGAAAAGATAATTTACTCCAAAATTGGGACTTCTAATTACTCCGTCAATTAATAGTTTTTTCCTAAATAATTGTTAGCTAGCGGCCTAGTTGATAACCGCTAGAACGCTAGCTAACAATTATTGAAAAAAAAAATGATTAATTGCCAGAGTAATTAGGAATCCCAATTTTGGAGTAAATGATCTTTTCCAGATAATCCAACCAGTCCTTAAATAAATTACAGCACCCTGACGAAACTTGGAATGAAGAAATTAGGGGGAACGTACATCTGACGTAGACGTACATCCACCTGACGTTGGGTTGATCATGCACATCTTGATCGACGTAGACATCGAGATCGGCGCAACCGTAATATCCAGTATCACCGGCGACGGTTGTCGGTCTCGTGAAATTGATATGATGTCTTCCATCGATCGCCCAGGAATTAAGAACAGCACTTGAAGTCGATATCTATGGAGAAATGATTTTATTCCTCTCGTCTCAGGTAATTGTCACTTGCACTCACCATCCCCGTGTCCTGGGGGTAATAGAACTCTATCTCCTTGAAATTGCCCGAGCAAGTGATATCGAGTGGTTCCCCCTCTTCAATGAACAGTTGTTCTACATCAGGGATTACCTCAGGCTTTGCACTTGAAATTTCTATAACTCCTGAAAATATTAAAAAATATATGAATATTATAAATATTATAAATATTATTTATAATATTCATATATTTTTTAATATTAATAATAATTTTTTTAATTATTTATTTATTTATTATTATTTATGATTAATTTATTAATAATAAATTAATAATAAATTTTTTAATATTAATAATAAAAAATATATGACTATTATAAATAATATTTATAATATTTATAATATTCATATATTTTTTAATATTTTCATATATTTTTTTATATATTATAAATATTATTTATAGTAGTTATTATATGATTATTATTATATAATAATTATTATATAATTATAAATATTAGAAAATATTGATAAGATCTTACAGATCAAATGACAAGTGTCCAAAGATTTTTCAAAGAAAGATTCTCCCCTGAATAAAAAAAATGTGAAATGAAGATGTTAAATTGTCGTATTCCATCGTCATAATATTAGAACGATTCTGTAATTCGATTTTTAAATTTGATTGTTTTTTAATATTGTCGAATAATTGGATATTCCTTCAACCCAATTTATAGAGATTATATTTGTACAGATAAGTCCCTGGAAATTCCTTTATTCCAGTTCTGCGCAGCTACGATTCCCAGAGGAAGTCCTTTCTTTCCTCTTGCGATAAAGCCCTTATCAACATGTTCTCCATCCACCCAGTTGTGACACCGAGTTTAAACACTAACTAGAATATTAGCTAACAATATTCATGCATGATATGAAAAATATGTCAAATACTGGGGCAGCACGTGCATCAGCCTCACTGGAGGACACATTATGCGAGTTTTAATTCAATTTCAATTCTACCCAGACATTTTTTTATTAAACAATCCTATTAAACAATCCTATTGAACAATCCTATTAAACAACCATCTATTTCCACTAAATCCCGCGTTTCCAGTCGTAATAAAAATCGAATCCCCAATTCAATTCGATTTTCAATGAATGGAAAATGGATTTATCAATGAAAAATTCGACAGAGATTTCTCTGGAGGTATTAATTTTGTAATTTATCAGTATGTGAACTTGATAACGAGTTTTTGATACAGTAGCTGATTATTTGGAAACACTGGAGGTCTGGAGGGCGAGATAAATTCATGAGAGATACCCCTTTCGAGATTTGGGATGAAATTTTTTTAATATATCCTGTTTACGGTCCGTTGCAGTCCAGTTACAATAGCTGGGTGTGTCCTCAGATATTTCTATCTTCCTTGACATGTCCCTTTATCGAAATATCTAGGCCTGAACCAACAACCATTCGATATCAAGTCTATCTTACTCCCATTGATTGCTATTAATCGATTTTCAATTAATCGTCTCTCACACATTATCTTATTATTATTATTTCTGTCATTCTGCTTTTCTGCAAGAGGTGAATCGTCATCTGTAATTGAGGCTGAGTAATACATAACATGACTCTTCGGAGTAAATATGGTAATGAGGCTTGAACTCATGTGGAATATTTTCAATCCGTGGAATTGAATTCTGTCGGAATTGATCACGCGGAAATTAAATAAATATAAATAAATACGCGAAATTAAATTCATTTCCATTTTCTACTGAAGTTTTATTTATTTTATTTACTTGTTTTATTTATTTAATTGTTTATACTGTTGTTTTTAGGTATTTGGGATTTTTTTGGTGCCTTAAAAAATTGGGTTAATGACAATTTTCCGATTAAATTTCACTCACGAAAATTTCTATCATTTTTTTTTCTGTCAAATCCTAAAATTTATGAGAGTGCAAAATATCCGTGTACAGCTAGGATTTCAAATAAAAAAATTTCGGTGTTTTAGTATTGAGTAGTTGGGACTTATCCATTTCGAAATCAGCCTAAGGCGCCTAATCAGCGTTAAGAGCGATCTTGCAGCACTCATTAGTAAACTTGGGTCACAAATGGGTTTTTAATTATCAGACTCGACCTAAACCATTTCTGCAATCCGCCGGATGGCTTTCTTATTGGCAAAACGTGACGATTCGAGATCTCCAGAGAACCTTCGCGACTATTAAAAGTCATGAATCATCCTGCGCTGTGATTTCCATTTTAACCGATTTTCAACCGAAATCGCGGTAAAAAAAAATGAAAGGCCGATGCGATGGGCCCGAGAATTCCAGAGGGAATGTGTCAGAATTTTGGTGAGCGTGTGGAATGATATCAAGGCCGGGAAATCGACCAATGGGAATTGATTCCACAGGTGAGAGTAACGAGATAATGAGTCAATGGAGTACCACGTGATTCCACGGTTGCAGACGATTGACAGCGCCTTGAAAATTCTCACATTAAAAAAATGAGAACTCACCTGTGCACTGAGAGAGCACCAGGATAAAGGGGAGACTCTTCACCAGAGGGTTCATTTTATCGAGTGGTAGCACCGGTGTCTAGGTTTGTATTCACATTTTCAGGAAGTCATTGCACAAACATTTGAATTATTTTTAGCCGCGTGGAGGAGGTGAATGGATTGTGTTTGCCTTTCGTCGAGGACTTGTTCACTATTACGCGGTGGAATGCTCACTGGTTGTCTGGTTCCTCATGTGAACACCACTGGTACTCAATGCTGAAGAGGGTGGGGTCTTGTGAATGCCCTGGAGAAGGAGAATACGTCATCGAGGATGTACCGGTAAAAATTTTATGCCGCTGTAAAAAATATTCTCCCACTCTGTACATCCGTCATGTCATTTTCTGATTTTCAATATTTATTTATTTTTGCAGTAATTATCGGTGGATTAATTACCAAATTATCAAATCATTTATCATATCAATTATCAAATTATTGTTTTATCATTTTAATTCCACTTAAATACGTCACTTCGATGACAATTAAAAAACAGTCAATCAGTGTTTGAGGAGTTACCGAATTTCGCATCTCTGATGACCGCACCAGTTGCACCATAAAATTATTATTACGCGCTACTATTATTTACGCAGTTTTTTGCGATAACCGCTGTTTAAATTGCGATTCCCCTCGCTATTTATCGCCCGGGAATCCCAAATGACGCCTTTTTCAAATAGAGCGCATTACGCACTCCCATGGGGTTCTCCGGAAAAATTTCTGGGAATTTGTTATTTGGAGGAATTTTTTTTCGGGAGATCCTCCAAGAATTCCTCTTCACCATCTGTTTAAATAAAATGAAAAATTATTTACAGAAATTGTTCACGGAAATTGTTTACGGAAATTGTTGACTCGCTATTCTGGGAATATTCAACCAAGCATTTTCTTGATTAATAATTAATCGGTAATATAATTCTAAATTTCATGCAATTCGCGGTTTCGCGGTTTAAATAAATTTACAAAATGAAAACAAGTTTTATTCCTTCGCATGGTAAATCCTGAAGAAACTGTTGAGTACATTGAGGATATAAGAACTAGTTTATCGACTGATAACTACATACCCTGGGAGACTCGTCCCTCAGATTATAAATTTAAATTTATTTTTTAAATGTCAAATTCCTGAAAAGTTGAATTTCAACAATTTGGACAGTTCACCCTCAAAAAATTGCAATAAAATTTCATATTCTGCTCGTAACAATTACCAGCGATATATAGTTATACATATATACATGCATTATGTACTCTATATTATATATTACTGCTGTTTCTCCACTCTCCAAACAAACATGGCGACATGCCAAAGCCCACACCGTTTCGTTAATTAACCTGTGTCATTTTTATCGTGTTAACATTCAGTAATTATTCAATTACTTAAAATCATGAATCTTGGACTTGGAAGTACTTTACTCCCAGGTGATCCTCGGCTGATCGATCACATCGTCGGGGAAGTCAAGTCTCAGGGAATTTTTGATCAATTCAGGAAGGAGTGTATCGCTGACGTTGACACAAAGGTGCGATAATAATTCATACAACCACTACATTTATTATCATCATTAAAAAATTCTCAGTGTATCCGATATTTTCATTGTGACACCAAATGCATGCACGTCTCAGGATTTTATTACTATTCATAACCTTGAAACTAGTTTTTCTATTCAACATTTTTTCTTGTACATTTCACGAAAGTTTTGAACGTCTTTTCTCGTTCAAGACGTTTTTTCGTTTTTTCGTTCAGTTTTTGTTTTAATTATATGATCATTTTTTAACAGATAATGACAATTGAAAGGGAGGAATTTATGGGAAGAATTAAATAATATAATTTAATGAATTAAAGTAATTATCATGTGGGAGGTAGAAAAAATACTCTTTGAGTGTTCAGTTAATTTGATATTATTCCAATAATTTCGCAATGTTTTATTATTTTCTGCGACTTGACTGGTGTCATGATTCTGCTCCATAGATCATGCTAAATTTATTTTCAGCCAGCATACCAGAACCTGCGAACTCGTGTGGAGAGTTCGGTGAACTCGTTCCTGTCGAAACAGCGTTGGCGTGCAGATCTGAACAAGAATCAGCTCCGGGAAACCCTACGAAAACACATCTCCGATGGTCCGTACCTGGACACAGGTGTGGAACGTATCGTGGACCAAGTGGTGAACCCGAAGATCTATTCAGTCTTCATGCCACAGGTGGAGGACGTGGTGTATGAGTTCCTGGGGCTCGAGAAACCGAGACGTGAGAAAAACGGTGCATGTGGTTTCAAGGACCTCTTGCCGAAGGATTTGGATCCAGTATCACCAGAATCAGATAAAAACAGCCTGAAGGACATCTCCCTGGACTCAGTGGACGCGAATTTGTCGGCTCCTCTCGAGGACAATGATTCAACCGTGAAGAGAGAGTCCGAGGCCGAGGTCAAGATGGAGACGAAGCTTGAGGATTTTTCTCACCTGGAGAACGACATCAGCAATGGAAAAATCGAGGAGGATGCCGAGAGGTCAGTGGGGGAGCCGATGGATCTCGAGGGGAACACCCCACCACCTCCAGGTGTCAAGGACTCGGTGCAATCAGAGGAGAGAGAGCAGGATGATGAGGACGAAGAAGAGGAGGAGGACAGTCCCGTTTTCGAGCCCATCGACATCATGAATCTCAATGAGTCCAACATCTCCAACGACTCTCATCTCTCTGGCATCTCCGAGCTCACCAGCCACAGATCACGCAGTCTCGATTTTTCAAATGAACTCTCGCGTGATCACTTTGATTTCTCCAATCAAGATTCACAACTCAGCAAAGTCTCATCTGATTCTCGATTATCAATTGTCACTGATTTTGGATCATCCAATCAGCCAACAACTCCACTAGCTGATATCCAGAAGGATGAGAACAGCAAAGACAAGTTCTCGAAGGACAATTTCAAGGCTATCCGTGGGGAAGGGGATGACTCCGGTGGACTGCAAATGAGGGATAATAAAATTGATGGAAATAAGCAGAAGGAGAGTTTAGTGGAGATGAAGGATGGAAGTGACACGAGGAGCTCGAGGACGAATTTATCGTCGAAGGAGTCGTCTCGAGATGGTATGGAGAGGATTGAACACAGGATCAAGGAGAAAAGGAGCTCTGAAAGGTCGAAGGTCTCGAAGGAGGGGTCTCAATTCAGGGAGTCTAGGAGTCATAGAAATCGAGAGAAGGATAAGAGGAAGTCTTCTCACAGTGAAGGCAAGGCTGAGGGTTATGAAAAGTACAAGTCGAGAGACAAGTCTGAAAATTCGAGGGACTCGAGTGAGAAGGTCAGGGATACGAAAGAGAGTAAAGACACCCCCACGAAGTTGAAGGAGGAGAAACCGAAGGAGTCCCCCAGTAAAGAGGGAAAGGACCTGAAGGACATCTACAAGGAGAAAATCCGAGAGCTGAGGGAGAAGAAAGAGTTGACTGAGAAGGAGAAATTGGGTAAAGAGGGTAGAGAGTCCTCTAAAGACACCAAGTCCTCCAAGGAAGGAAAGGACAAGAGAGATCCCTCGAGGGATAAGGAGAAGCGCAGGAACTCGTCGTCCAGGACTCGCAGTTCAAGACACGAGAGCAGATCGTCAAAGTCATCGAGAGAAGATTCGAAATCGACAAAAACTGAGAAAGAAAAAAATAAACGAGAGGAGAGTCATCGCTCTAAGGATTCTAAAAGTAGGAGTCAATCAGAATCGAATGATAAGTCTGATAAATCTGATAAATCAGATCCTAAAAAGTCATCGAAATCTGAAAAAGAGGATAAGCCAGAGGTGAAACAGGACGTGAAATCCAGCCAAAAGTCTTCGAAGAGGGACTCGAAATCAGACTCGAGGAGTTCTGATCGTTCAGAGAAACGTGACGAGTCCAAGGACAAAAGACGAAAGGAGGAGAAGAAATCAAAATCGAAGGACGATCACTCCAGCCTGAGGAAAGGCTCCAACGATCGCAGATCTTCCGACCGAGATGGCTCGAGTGGATCCAGTGGCAGAGGCTCCCAGAAGAGTAGCTCAAGCCCCAGCACATCATCCTCGAAGCCCTCGTCCTCCTCCCTGGTGAAGGACTCCAGCACCACTAGCAACTCAAACAGTGAGACTTCAGATGGCCTCGACGATAATCAAACAGAAGAGTCGAAGCCTGCAGATCCGCAGGTGCCAGAAACCAGTGGATCAAAAATTGATAGTCAAGAGGAAAAGGTAACTGAAGAACCTGAAGAGACAAATACCAGACGAGTGGATCCAGGTCATAGCGAGATAAGTCTCCCATTGAAAAAACGCCCACTCCAGAGTGACGATCTCACTTCACGTGCCAATGAGGCCGCAATAAAGAAGCCAAAATTCGCCAGGAACTTCGCAGAGGCCAAGAAGATGATGAAGATCAGGAAGAAAATCGAGAGGGAGCATTTAAAAGACCAATCGCCAGTGGACGGTAGGTCATCAGCGTCTGAGGTATCTGAGGCTTCAGAAGCTGAAGATAAGGTGTCGCCACTTCTGGCTGATGAGGAGCGAGCGCAAATTATCGAAGTGAAAGCCGAGAATGAGGACGTACCGTGCCCTGGAACGAAGTACAACCCGAACCTCGAGGAGGGCTCCAAAGTGATCCTGGCAGCTGACGAGATACTCAACACTGAAATTGTCGCCAAATTAAACACCAAGTCGACGTTATCAGAGATGGAATTGTCGATAAGGCAATCTCTGACGGAGATGATCTCCGATAGAACTCATGAGGAGAGCACTGGGAAGAGTGTTGAGACTGTAGGCAGTCATGAGGAGAAGCCCAGCACTTCAGGGGAAGAGCTTAAAATTAAAATTGAGGTGAAAGAAGAGATTGAATGGACCGAGGAGGAGGCAGGGACCTCAGCTCCTGATGAATTGGACGAGAAACGAGAAAAAGAACGAGAACAACCAGAAAAACCACCGAAGAAAGAGCACCTGGAGCCTCCAGATTATCTCGCAACCCCTGGAACTTCATCAACAACTCAAGGGCTCTCAGACGACGAGGAGGACGTTCGTTATTTCCTAGTGGACAACGAGAGATTGAACAGATTCACTCAATTCATGAACTCGATTGGCCTCACTGAGGAATCCCTCAGAACTCATCCAGACAAACCTATCCTCGTCCCCGAGTCCCAGGCGATGGCTCCACCCCAGCCCAAACGAAAGTACTCCACCAGTCCCTTATCAGACATTCTCCTCAACAACTCCAATAATAATAATGACGGGCACAAGCTGGAGGCCACGATTTATGAGGAAGAGGGCCAACCATCTGCGAAGAGAAAAAAAATGGGAAGACCCAAAAAAATGCGACCCAGTGGCAACTCCACGAGTCCACAAATGAACGGCGAAAACTTTGTGCTACCGATGAGTCCAGAGAGCGACGTATCAGTCACCAGTGATAAAATTATTGGATCACTGAAGGACGAGCGTCGGCCACGAGGCAGCAGCCAACGGTACACCAGTGACGATTTGTACAAGCCACGTCCACTATTCGCAAGTTCCTCCAGAAGGAGCAGAAGATCAAATCCATAGCTGCTGGTAATCAACGGACTATGGCGATCACCTATAGTCGTTTAAATCCATAATCGATAATAATGAGTTTATATTTTTTTACTGATAATTACCTTCAGTCCATCGTTTGGTATTCAAGCGGTTTTGTACATAGGTAGAAGGAACATTCGAAAACTGAAGGTAAATTAGGCATGAATATTTAATTAAATTGAGTGTTCGGATTTATTTAGACCTGTACTTCCCTCCTAGAAGTTTCTGTAAAGTTTCTGGAAACCAACAAAGAAATTGGAAGTTTATTTGCAGAAATTTCTGCGTCCCAATTTCTGCGTTAATTATCGAGGAGAGAAAATTTGAATTACAGTAACAGTTCTATATAAAATAAAGTTAAAAGTGTTTTTTATTAATTAATTATTCCTGGTTCATCGCTTTCTTCGGGGACTCGCTATTTCTATACATCTCGGGCATGGGAACTCCAGAAAAATAACTTAAATCCCCATGGGATGGTTCTCTAATTTATTCTCTTACAATTCAGTTTCTGCCATGAGTATAATCAGTAATTATGTATAAAAATGGTGATAAAGGTCAATAAAGAGATTTTTTATTCGATTCAATGAGAATGAAGGGTTTTTAATGGACTCGGGGTATTACTCTAGAGAACTTAATGTCAACCAGAAACCAGTTTCACTGGTGGTTACGAGACTCCGTCGACTGAATTTAATTGGCACTGCGGTTTTATCGTTTATTTCCACTCTGTGGTGCTGTAAAAACGATATTATCCCGACTTTTGTTTCCAGCAGGGCAAATCTCATTCCTGTAGAAATTAAAATTACGTCACTCGTGATTTTCACAAGGAAAATTGTTTGAACATTGACTGACGTACCAATGCAATTACGAGGACCTTCACCGAAGGGCAGATATGTGTAGGGACTTCTCTTCGATTTGTTCTCCTCGTTGAATCTCTCGGGGTCGAATTCCTCTGGTGATGGGTAATGCCGGGGATCATGATGTATCCCGTAGATGGGAATCACCACTCGCATCCCCGCGGGCAACTCCACGTCCGTTTCTGGGATTTTGTAAGGATACTCGCACCTCCTGGAGAGCAAGGGAGCTGGTGGGTACTTCCTCAGGGTTTCTAAATGGAAAAATTGATTTTTTTTTAATTTAATTTTTTTTTGAGCAGTCCAGGGATTTTTTTTTTAATTATAGGCTGTGGGGGTACCTAAGATCACTTTATCGAGATATTTCATCTCCTGGACGGCGTCGTACGTCAGTTTTCCGGCGCAGCCCTCAGTCTCTTTAAGGATTTCTTCTCTGACTTTCTCCTGAATCCTCGGGTTCAACGCCAATTCGTACAGACAAAAGGCTATTGTGTTCGAGGATGTCTCGTGTCCAGCGACGAAAAATACGAATGCCTGAGCTGCAATTGCGTTCTCGTCGAGAACTGTAAAATATTGAATGACTTCGTTTTTTATTCAAAGAAATTCTCATTTCTGTGGGCGTAGTGAAAAACGAAAAGAACGATGAGCAGAAACAATTTGTATGAAAAAATTTGTTTACACTGTCCCAAATTCCGTAGTGACCCATTAAAAACATTAAAAAAAAAAATGGAAAACTAGTTCTTGAAGAAGATTTATAAAATTTCTAGAAAAAATTTCTTGACTCAACAGGAATATTCTGGTATATCAAAACCATTTCCCGGAATATTAAATAATTTGATATTTCCCACCGATATCCTCATCACCATCCGCTGCATTCCCCGGATCCATCACCAAACTCCCTTTATTCTTCAACTCCACCAAGAGATCCATGAAATCATGTCTCCTCCCACCCTCTTCCTCCCTCTGCCTCACCATCTGCGAGACGACATCCTTGAAAAAGGCGATGACCTCGGGATTGATGACCTGGACCCCCAGTAATTTATACAGCCGTGGCATGGAGGTCCTCAGCATCCTCCACAGGGTGCTCTTGTAACTCGGCTTCCCCAGCTTCTTCGCGGCCTCGTGGAACGCCGATTGTCCGTCAGTCAGGGCGCGAATCTGTATGCCAAAGGCACAACTGCCGATGACGTCTATCGTAAATTTGGCAGTCAAATCACGCACGTCGACAACACCCCGAGAAGTGCCAATGACTTTTTTCAATTCCTCGTGACACTCAACGAGAAGATAAAACATCCTCTTGATCTTCCCTGATGAGAACACGGGTGTCAGCTTCGATCTCATCCCTTTCCACTTTTTTCCCTCCATATTAAATAAATGCTCCGACAGGGAATCCTGGGAATTCACAGGAATTCCTCTATTCATGAAGCAAGAGAAGTCCTTCACGTTGATAGTCTTTATCAATTCCGGATCGCGTAGAATTAGAATCGGCGATCGCACCCTGAAGACACCGAAATATCGCGACTCTGGAAACCAATTGTACATTTCTTTTATCCCTTCCGGTTGTGACTTCCGGAACAGCAGGAGATCCCCGAAATTCCCCAGGAGAACTGTTGGTTTTTTGAATGGTACATTCAACTTCAACCAGAAGTCAAAGGTCGATGTTAAGTACAAGTAAATAGACATGATGATTAATCCAGGAATTATAATTACATGCAGCACTTCCTGCGCCAGGTACTCGCTCATTGCGATAATCTCCATTTCAATTTTTTCGATTTGGAAAATAATGATTTCCGGTCACTTATGAATCCTCCCAATCTCTCCTCTCAATCATCTGTCATTTCTTTAATTACAATTCAGTAATATTTATGTTGTTTGGATTTCATGACTCAGTCCAGACAAGAGTAAGCTAGTTATTTCATTTTTTTAATTACGCGCAGTTTTAATTGCGCACTTCCCCGGAGACGATTGACATGTGTTGTCAATAGAAAATTCGCAGGCGTTTATGATCCACTCATTATCGCGGTAATTATCGGCGAGAGAAATTGGTCAAGGCCGGTGGCTTTCACTGAATTTTTAAGCGCGAATTTCAATCGGCGGATTACACCGCGGATTGATGAAATTGTTGGGGAAAATTGTGGAATTATTTTTGGGTGATGGTTTTCCTTTCGTGGTCACCCACGGACTGCTTTGACTGAAGTCATGTAGCCATGGAGAACTCCTTGAGAAACCTCTTACACCGTTATCTAGATTGACGCTTTCCTCTCGTTCACTCTTTTACTCAAATAAATACCTCATGGCCTCATCTCACCACAACAACTCGAAATTCCATTGAGTATCGATGGGCTGATATAACTCACTACCAAAATTATAAATAAAAAACAAGTCTAATGACGAGTTCTTCGAGTTCTTCGAGTGGCGGGAGCATTGGCCTTTCAGTTTTATCGCGAGAATAAATAACTGAAATACTCCAGTCGAGTCACTCTCACTGACTGATACCGAGTCATTGATAAACATTACCCAATATTTCACTTTTAAATTAGCGAACAAAAAAAATCGAATTCTTTTACCGTCGGAGGATAAATTTGTGACGTTTAAATTTCAATTTTCCGAGCGAATGTCGTGTCCTATTTTTATTTCTCTCATAAAAAATAATAAATATCGTCTAAACGAGAGAAATTGTAATATTTCTGAAGTTTTAATTATTCGGAAATTTCACCCCAAAAAATATTATGATAAATAAAATAAATAAAATAAATAATTATAAATGAAATAAACAAAAGCAAAACAAAATCGTTTTTTAATTATTTTATAATTATTATTTTTTTTAATAAAATCTCTCATTTCAATTAATGCAATTGAGGATTTTTAATTTAAAATCTCGATTTTGATTCGAACATTCGAGATTTAATTTGAAAATGAAACGTCCTGAAAGTCTTGAAGGATTCGAAATTGGCGCTAATTTTTGGAGTGGCACTGCTGTCCAATGGCTGTCATCAAAACGAAAACGAGCGAAAAGGCCCGTTGTCCGGCTTTCGAGGACGGTGTATCCACGTGGATAACTTGACAGCAATTTTTCTTCACCATAAAACCCTTAAAATTATGTCTAAAGGAGATTTGCTGGAGTTCCACAGGCGAGCCATACTTGCGGTAATTTTCTCGTTGCACTTTATTCCCTTCACAATCGAACGCAGGCTCAGTGGAATTGGATTTTTTTCAACAGGAAAATGAAATTGATCAGCTGAAGAAAGAGATTGATGTGCTGAAGACTCTGCTGAAGCCCACAACGTCTTCCTCCAAAGAATTGACTGAGCTTCAACAGGAAAATGCGAAACTGAAGCACCGGGTGGCCATTCTCACACGAGTAGGTTAACAAACTTGTCAACAGTGAAGATCATGTATGAGTTTATCGTCAAATAATCAACTCGTGTTTTTTTGGCGATTTTTTTCTTCAGTACGTGGAGTCAGTGAGAGCGAAAGAAGCTAAATTAGGAGATAAAACAGAACAAATGATAAGTATTTACGACGAGCTGGAGACTGTGTTCCTCGCAGCGATCAGCAAGACTTACCCTGACCTGGTGGATCCACCGGTCGTAATTACCACCTGCCAGGATGCCAAGTTTGGGGATTACCAGTGTAACAGCGCAATGGGACTTTCGAAATTATTGGCAGGGCAAGGTATGACTGAATTCTTGACTCTGTGTTATCCTGAAGAATTGATATGTATCGCATGACAATTAATTCTCCATAAACTTCAAACAGGTAAAAAAACATCTCCTCGAGACGTGGCAAATGCAATTCTCTCAAACGTCTCGCCAACTCCACTAATCGAGAAGCTAGAAATTGCTGGTCCAGGCTACATAAACATCTTCCTAAAACGAGACTTCGGCCTAGACGCCCTGAAGACTCTGCTGAAGGCCGGGAGAGTGCCACCCCCCAGGGTCGACAAGCAGAGAGTAATCGTGGACTTCTCCAGTCCAAATATCGCGAAGGAGATGCACGTGGGTCACCTGAGGTCCACGATAATCGGCGAGAGTATTGCAAGGCTTTTGGAATACCTGGGGCACGACGTATTGAGGCTGAATCATGTGGGAGACTGGGGAACTCAATTCGGAATGCTAATAGCTCATCTCCAGGAAAAATTCCCGGATTATTTGACTGTCTCACCTCCCATCTCTGACCTTCAGGGTTTCTACAAAGAATCGAAGATTCGTTTTGACACTGACGAGGAATTCAAAAAACGAGCGTACGCTTGTGTTGTCCAACTCCAGGCCTTCGAGCCAGACATCACCAAAGCCTGGAACATGATCTGCGACGTTTCAAGGAGGGAATTCGACAAATTGTACGAACGCTTGGACGTAAAGATCATCGAGAGGGGCGAGTCATTTTACCAGAAGATGATGGAGGTGATTGTCAAGGATCTGGAGGCCAAGGGACTCCTCGAGGAGGATGAGGGGAGGAAAATCATGTGGGGGGAGAAACCTAATACTGGAATTCCTTTCACGATTGTCAAGTCCGATGGAGGATTCACGTACGATACCTCCGACATGGCGACACTCAAGCATCGACTCGAGGAGGAGAAGGGCGACTGGTTAATTTATGTCACTGATGCTGGACAGGCAGTCCACTTTCAACTTCTTCAGAGCTGTGGAAAACGCGCTGGAATACTCAAGCGTAAGTGAATTAAAAAAAAATGTTACATTCATTAAAACGATTTTCTCCTTTTGCGTACAATTTCATTTTCATTCTCTCCAGATCAACGATTCAGTCACGTACCATTTGGGGTTGTCCTCGGAGAAGACAAAAAGAAATTCAAGACCAGATCAGGAGATACAGTGAAACTGCTCGATCTACTCGATGAAGGTCTCAAGAGAGCCCTAGATAAACTCCGGGAAAAGGGACGGGATAAGGAACTGAGTCCTGAGGAATTGAAGGCAGCGCAGGAGGCAGTGGCCTACGGCTGCATCAAGTACGCGGATTTGTCCCACAATCGCAACCTCGAGTACGTCTTCTCCTTCGACAAGATGTTGGAGGACAAAGGAAATACTGCAGTTTATCTGCTGTACCAATTGACGAGGATCAGGTCTATAGCCCGAATTGCCAACGTCACACCAGAGCAGATGAAAAAAGCCATTGAGACCACTCCTGTAACCCTCGATCACGAGAAGGAGTGGAAATTGGCTAAAGTTCTTCTTAAGTTCCCTGATGTTCTTCTTAAAATCACTAAGGACCTGTATCTTCATACCCTCTGCGAATTTTGCTACGAGATATCCTCCGCTTTTTCTGAATTCTATGATAAGTGCTGGTGTTTGGAGAAGAACAGTGTTGGAGAAATTGTTAAAGTCAATATGGGAAGGATTCTACTCGCTGAAGCCACAGCTATTGTCCTTGAACAGTGCTTTTATATTCTCGGCTTGAAAACTGTAGCCCGTATGTGATTTTGTTACAACTGCCAACAAGAAATAAAAAATCAGTCTTCATCAAATTATTCTATTTTTCTCTTCGAATTTATTTCAGTTTCGTTGTTCGAATCGAATAGATATATGTTGTAATTAATTTTGAGCGCTATGCGTGTGTTATAAACCTAGTAAAAATAATTATAATAAAAATCTCGCGCACTCTGATATAATTGATAAGGATACATCGGGGTCATCGATCATCGCGGGTCAGTGATAAAAGAATAAATTTATCAATCATTTAGAAAATGTCAGAGGGTCGTCTGCAACTCGGAAATTATTTTCTTCTCTACTGCAGTCTTGAAAAATTTTCCTGGAATCTCCAAAAAATAATTACAATTTGAATTGTCGATATTCATAATGACGTCGGCTGTAGTACGCGCGATAAACGATAGTAACGCCTTTATAGTTATCGGAACATTCGAACATTCAACATTCATTCAAATTGACACGAGTGAGGAGTGTCAATTAAAGAGCAATTATTTTGAAAATTTACTGTGCAAAATCATCGGAAGAATGAACACTGCCACCAAACGCAATTCACGACTGAGTAATTAAAATTTTTAATTCTTCTCTTTATAAGAGCATTCGCCTTACCAAAAATTGATGATCATGCGAATTTTGAGTTTAATAAACAGGCGGTGAAAATTATGGGGTGGCCGTAATGGAGTGCAGTGTCCAATATTTTTTGTTGTTATTCGGAGATTTTATTTTTTATTCCATACAATTTTTCTTTCATGAATCAGTTGTTCTCGATGATTCTGACATATTTACCTAACCTTGACACTTTAACTTCCTCTCCTCACACAATGGGACACTAGTAATTAATATCAATAATCAATGATGCTGTGAATTTATTTTCTTGAATGAAATTATTTGGCACAGGATATCTGGAATGAAAATGTTTTGAATATTAATTTCATGTCAAAGTAAACATTGAGGTTAATTATGATTTATTAATGGAGTATCATGATCTAGTGTAACACGTGGACCAATGGAAATATCTTATTCAAAGATTTGAAAACGATTCCAATTGATCGATTATTTTTTGTGATTCAGACTCCATGAGCACTGGAGATGCGACTTCAACCCGGAGGGCTCTCTTCACCGTGGGTCTCATTTTCTTAACTTCATTGACAGCACTGCTCTACGTCTACGCTAATTTTCCTGAATTAGAAGAGTAAGATAATTATTCTCGTCAGTCAAGACAATTCCCCTGTCCTTCACCATTATTATATTTTCTACTTTCCAGACACGAGAAACAACACATGAAACTGCCCCTTCATATAGAAGACGCCAAAAATCTTGGGAGACTTTTAGACAGATACAAAGAGCTTTATTACATGGAAGTACTCGCTGGTGTCTTCGTCACGTACATTTTCTTGCAAACATTTGCAATACCTGGATCGATCTTCCTGTCGATTCTCTCGGGATTTCTGTTCCCATTTTACTTGGCTCTTCTCCTGGTGTGCACATGCAGTGCAGTGGGGGCATCATTATGTTATCTTCTCTCCTCGTTACTAGGACGAAAGCTATTATTCAAGTATTTCCCGGATAGAGCGAATCAGTGGGCGCAGACAGTGAGAGAACACAGGGACAATCTGTTCAATTACATGTTGTTCCTGAGGATGACGCCACTACTCCCTAATTGGTTTATAAATCTGGCGAGTCCTGTTATAGGGGTTCCAATGATTCCGTTCTCACTCGGGACATTCTTTGGGGTTGCTCCACCATCTTTTGTTGCTATTCAAGCTGGCCAGACACTCAACAAGTTGACGTCTTCCAGTGACACTTGGTCCTGGTCGAGTATGCTTATGCTATGCATATTTGCTCTGCTATCTTTAGTTCCTGTGTACTTCAAGGAATTCTTCAACAGATTCTTCAAGAAACTGCGGCTCAAGTTCGACTGAACTTTAAATATTTCCATCTCGAATTCTCAGAGATTGTGCGATATTTATTTGGGAGTGGCTTTAATTAGAGACATCCCCATAGAAATCCAATCATCCCTTAAATGCATACTTTTAGGGAATTGACAGTCACGAAGAATGAGATGGAAATCTCTGACTAAATTCTAAAAATATAATAATAAAACATGGACTCCTTAAATATAGGTTCTTGTCACATAAATTTCGGTACAAAGTTTAGCGAAATGAGCACGAGACATTATTTATTAGGTAGAAAAATATGTATTTCGGATTAAATGAACATTCTCTTCTCGTTTCGTTTTACGTTGAACAATAAAAAATTTTCTCGTGTTACCTAATTATTGTATTCGATTGATGTGAACAATTTTATCTCCCCTGGCGCACAATTACTGAAAAATGAATTATAATTCGCCTAGGTAAATTTAGATTGGTCTAGTTACAATTGTAATCGCAAAAGCACGTGATCTCAGGTGAAAAAAAATATGAAAATCGACGTTGAACGTTGAGTCAGTGAAGTATGATAAGATAATTTGAGTGAGTGTATGGGATATAAATGAATTCATCCAGAAAATTTTGTACTTGCGATGATATCAAGTTCTAATTCCAAATAACTGAAATAAAAAAACCCTTGAAAAATCTAAAAATAGATTCTTATTATAATTAGTTTCTAGAACACATTAAATAATTTATCAAATAATTGGACATTGAAACGATTTTTTCGTTCAAGATTTCAACAGAATGACGTGAGATAATTAATTGAGATTTCAGTCGAGTTGATTGCTGGAAGGCTCATAGGTCTCCAGTACCACCAGTTGTACCACACTGTAAATAAATAAATGAATAAGAACAAAATACAGCTTTCAATTATGTCCATAAGATAATTACGTACGAGTACGACTCGGAGATAATAAAACAAGAAAAGTCCTGCAATTTCGTTGGCACTCAGTACTAGGCGTCATTTTAATCAGTCTTGAGCCTCTCGTAGACCTGAGGATAACATTGCTGCATTCTGGATTTGGCTGGAAAATTGACGTTAAAAAAAAAATTACTGGAACTCCAGTTGCAATACAGTCCATCGAAATTTGAGTACTTACCAAGGAATATTCACCAGCTTTGGGCTCGTCAATAAACAAGTACCTCTCTGTACTCTGACTCCACCAAATGGGTGTCCCTGACGGTTTGGGCATTAATTTTCGGAGAATTCTACTGGGCCTCATGCGATTGAGCCTCCATGATACATGAGTATCCAGGAATTCGGATGGATTCTCGTCAAGTCTTTTCTCCAATACATTTTTTATTGTCCTGCAACATATTTATTCAAAACAAATTCCATTTTCAATTAGTCATAAACAGCACTTTTCACTCACCTGTAAAAAGGATTATTCGAGGAGATTCTTCTGGCGTCGACGTTAAAAATATCAGAGTGATTTTTGTACATATTAATAATACTATCCAGATCCGCATTGCTGTCACTCTCAGCTCTCACGAAGGGTATTCCAACATTAAAGGTTTCAGTCATGTTCCAGCCCGTCATATCTGGCACTGATTGCACAGTACTACAAGGCCAGCAATCCATATCCGCTACCTTGAAGAAAGGGTTTTCTATCAAGCAGGATTCATCGTACAGCTCTAAAAAATATATAATAAAATAAGAATTGTCGTTAAACCGGAGACAGTGATAATTACCAGTTAATGCTGGATATCTCTTGATAATGGGGACAGCCATCTGTCGAAATACTGTTAAGCCAGGATAAATGAAGCTCTGCATATTTCTCAAAAAAATACTGTGCGTTGCCGGATGATTGTACAATCCCAGAAAACAAGCAATCGTTATTAAAACTACCCCAATGACCACTCTAACCCCCTTCCACACCCCATGGAATTTATTAACACGACTCATCTCCAACTCCTTGAAGCACTCCTCAAAAATCCTCTCAGTTTCAACTTCTGTGATCCCATTTTCTCTCGCATAAATCCTGAGATCGTCCACATACTGCCTGTATAATTGAAAATCTCCCATATTTCTGCATCGATACCGATCATCTGATCGTTTTATAAACAACAATTCGGAGCACTCCCCCTCGTCATCAGCATTTCCATCGAAACTGCAGCTCACGTGACATCGACCAATAGAATTCCCGGGACTTGGATTTTTCTTCGTTTTACGTTAACGCTAAATCGTAAAATTCCACCAATCACCAGAAGAAAATTTCACATTCCAGGATGTCATTGGTGGAGAATAGTGAATTAATTTCGACGTAAACCCGTGCTAAATTCCTCAGCTTCCACGTCCTTGGAGCGTGTGTAAAGTGATGAAAAGATACCTTAAAACTATATCTCCACACTGTGAATCTCCCCCACACAACAGACGTAACAAAGTCATCAAGTAGGAAAATTGTTTAGAACAATCTAACAGAAGTCCCTCGTGAGTTTGCCTGTGTGCTCCAATGAAGTGTGAATAAGTCCCATAAATGTTTTGAGGTTAGAGTTGCCATTGACATTTCAACAATGATTCCTCGCAGTCTCCTCGATTTTACTGCGACTCCAATCTGTATCTTGACAGTATCAATAGTGTTTTGTTGTGCGGTATCGTCAGCACTAGGTGAAAATGCTCCAGTGGAGATTGAAAAGCCCGAGATTGTCGTAGCATCAACGGTAAATTCCCCCTCACTTCTCGATTATTTACAACCGGCTTGTGTAAGAAATAATGAGTAATTATTTTACAAGAAACATGAGGAATCAACGGTGGCAACTCCGGTTCAGGGAAGCCTGGGATTTCTCCACGCCTTCATCGCAGCCCTCTCTGTCATCGTTGTCTCAGAACTTGGGGACAAAACCTTCTTCATAGCTGCTATAATGGCCATGAGACATCCTAGACTCACTGTCTTTATTGGGGCAATCAGCGCACTAGCACTCATGACAATACTCTCTGGTAATTGTCCTTGAAGTTTTACTACTCGAGAATTCGAGCGGAACAGATTTTTTTATTTATAGTTTTCTCATTCCAGATTGATATAACCCATATGCGCTATTTATTACTGATTACAAGATTTCTGAGATTACAAGATTAATTTTTATTACAGTTTTCTTTGGATATGTCGCTACTATTATACCTCGAGCGTACACCTATTACATATCTACTGCTTTATTCGCGCTCTTTGGGTTGAAAATGCTGAGGGATGGGTATTATATGTCTCCCACCGAGGGCCAGGAAGAGCTCGAGGAGGTGCAGTCTGATCTCAGGAGGCGTGAGGATGAGGTCTCTATTATTGCAATTATTCATTACTCCATTGGATGGAGGAAATCGAGAAACAGAAAGAAATTCAACAAATTCTCTTTTATTTTAATTCAAGCTATTATTTTCTGTCGAAATGACACCGAATTCGTAAAATCCGACTGCTCGTTCTGATAATATCGGAAATATGAAGGCATTAGGATTACATTTTTATTCCCTGATAATTTTTTCCAATGGTCAATTAAGACTTCGTAGAAATCGCCCCATTGAGTCATGAGATAATGATGTTTCTAACTGTTCCATTTGCCTCGAATGGACAGAGATAAAGTTGATAATTTTTGCTTCTGGAATTCTTCCGTTGCACTTATCGTATGTTGACATGAAAATTCATGTAGTACATTCTCATGCAGCTGGAGAGGGAGGTGGGAGTTGCTATCGTAACGCAAGACCCTGAGACAGGTGTAATACGAAAGACTCCGAAGACGACAGCCCTCATGCTCCTCTCGCGAATATTCTTCCAGGCCTTCACACTGACGTTTCTCGCTGAATGGGGCGATCGATCACAGCTGACTACCATTATTCTTGCTGCACGAGAGGTGATTTATTGAGTCATTAAACTCGGAGTATTAACATTTATAAATTGTTTTCTTTTATTTATGGAAATAATTCATGTTTTTTTAAAGGACATCTACGGAGTTATCGTTGGTGGCATCCTTGGGCATTCGTTTTGCACTGGACTAGCTGTTCTCGGTGGCCGTATGATAGCGCAGAGAATATCCGTTCGAACAGGTCTTCAATTTTTAATTGCTTTCGCATCATCTACGGGGAATTCTCCAAATTTTCTTCTAATTTTTTTTATTATGAGAAAGACAGCTGCTTCTTGACATATTAATTATTTCTCTTGCACTCAATCGCGATGATTATTTTTTCCAGTTACTATCATCGGAGGATTGGTTTTCCTAGCGTTCGCCGTCACTGCTCTCTTCATGGACCCCACAGAGACCGTGTAGATAATTTAAAATCGAGAACACAATGCAAGTCGACTTGTACTCTACAACATGTCATGCTGGATATGTATTCCTGCAGCGTATCACTGTAAATCAATATTCACTCCATAGTATTATTGAATAGTACACTCAAATCATTCGCGTGAATCCAGTGTAAATGGTATATTTTTATATTTGTATTTTCATTGAGAATGATTGTTTTTATTTCCTTAACGACATTGTGCCTTGAAAAATGAATGGCACAAGATGTTGTGCAGTCGAGGCTGTCTGGAATAGCGTATGACATTTGTAGATATAGAAAGATTAATTGCGGTGCAATCTTTAGAGGCGTATTCACTTACCGATACGAGTGTTTGGAATTCACATCGATGTACCTGTACTTCATAATTTTCCTTCAGTTGAACAGCAATTACTGATAAGCATGGTAAATCATTGTAAATAATTGAAATAAATTCCAAAGTGATAAATCAATTGTAATTCGATGTTTCTCCATTTTTTCGAGCAAAATTAAAAAATCGGACAAATTATCTATTGTAAAGCTTTCATTTGGAATAAAAGGAATAAAGTGGACAGAATCAGCTGATTCAGGTGTTTGACAATTTTCCCGCCAAAGCATGATGCTGCGCAGGCCGAGTATTGCGGTTAGAATATGTTAATTGATAATAGATGAGAGCTGTCTTCGTAAAGAACAATTGGGGCGTTGTTTATGTGTTTTTCGAGTATTTTTAATGGACAATAATTGTTAATATGGCTGAGAGAGGAGCTCATTTAACTGGGACAGCCCTTGTGAAACCCACAATTTTCGAAATCGTCGCACAAGAATCTCTAGCCTCAACTTTGGAACCTGCATTCAAACGAGTTTTCTCTGTAAGGAGAAACTTTACGAAATTCTGAAGAAAAGAAAACCGTTTTTAACAGATTGATCAGTTTTTAGTAACGTGCAACCCTGAAAGGTATGGGTGGCTGACGCAATGGTCTGATGAGGCGTATGGAGTTTTTCATGGACTGCTCCAAAGGTTCTATTTGAAGAATTATGGTGCGACAATTTCAGTAATATATTGTAGCAATTTCCGTGTACAAATTTCATCCTGAATTCCATCGAGATTACCTCAACGACATTTCGATTCAGGTGCATCATTTTCGGAAACATTTTATGGACTCCAGAGGATAGCAATAGTCAACTCTAAACCTGGAGGGAAATTATCCAAAGGACAGGAAACATTATCACTAATCTTCCTCCTTCTTCATCCGTATCTGAAAGCAAAGGCGAATCAGTTTGAATTGGCGGAAATCGATGGCAAAATTCCAAATGAGGTGAAACATTCGATTGATCGAATCATTTTCAGTTGTACGTTCTAATTTCTGTATTTGAACTACCTGTGCTAATCAATAATAAATATTAATTGCAGAAGTGGAAAAGAATATTGAAGACGTACTTCGTGAGGGCTCACAGAATCTACAATTTCATTCGAGAAATTTCTAGTCTTTATTACTATCTCTCCTACATCTCGGACAGGTCGAAATATCCAACTCCTCTGCTGCACCTGTTATCAATGACTCTGACGTACTCTCATCCCCACGAGTTGATCTCCATTTCCGAGTTACTCAGTAAATTGAGACAAGGAGGTTTCAGCACGAGCGACGGTGTATACCTACTGCAACGAGGATTCACGAGAACCCTGGAGTTGGGTGCATTTTTCCTGCAGTTCGTCAACTGGTGGAACCAGGAGAATTTTTACACCAACCTCATGTCACTCCCCGTGCCACCACCACCACCAGTACGTCCTATTATTCCATCACTTCTCAAGAAATTATTTATATATATTTTTTTTCAGGTACCCGATATCGCCAGGAGGTACAAAAGCTTGTGCCCAGTGTGTATAAAATCTCCGAACATTCCAACTGCACTCTCTGTTTCAGGGTGAGTACAATAATTATCAATCAACCATTAATTGTTAATCCTAATTAACTGAATGAATTCCCCTCGACAAAATTTCTTAACAAAATATATTTCGTTCGTCTGTGATTATTCCTCTCTCTGCAGGTACGTTTTCTGTTATCAATGCATTCTGTTAACGATTCAAACAAACGGGAAATGCCCAGTGACTCACTATCCTGCAAAGGAAGACGATTTGATCCGTCTCTACAACTGATACTTCAATCAGTCTTTTGACAGGGAAAAATTATTTATTTTGTTGATAAAAAATTTCAGCGGCTGTGGGACAATTAGTAAACAAACTAATGGATGTATGTATACTCTTAAAATAATACATTTTATTTTGAATAAATATTTTAATACAGATACCGATTTTTATCTCGATCTGATCGCAAGCTGCTCTGCAACTGTTTCCTCTTCTCCCAGTACTCCACGCGCATAATTTATTTTAAAATTAAATAATTGACTTTCAATCGAGCAGGAATTAGACAATAAAATAATGGAGAGGTTTTTATAAAGTTCTCGGAATATTTCAGAACAATCACACGATTTAATAATTTTGACAATCACAGATGCACACTGTCAGATATGTATAAATAATTATATTGCAATCACGTTCTCATTTTTATGACCCCTTCTTGACCAGTACAAACGTGTCATATTTACAACAATGATTTTTGGTTCACATGATTTGGCGATGCATTATTTCGTATTCACTAATGGAAATAAAATGAGAGAGAGAAGACTTTCTGTTCTCCTTGGAATATCCACAACACTGAATAGTTGCAATAATCTCTATGGACCATTCTTCACTCGTCTCCATTTAATTACACTCCTTCAAAATATTAACTACTTCTCTTTACGTTAAAATTACACAGAAAAAATAATGACCGACTTGTCAAAAAAATAATTACAAAATCCACGAAATCCTCCGCTGAAAATGATGAAGAATAATTACTGGATACGTAACGCAGTTTCTAGGAATAAAATCTTACACCAAAAGAGAGCCCACAGCCATAACAAACTGATCAAAAAATAATGAATCTGTAATATCAATTAATCTCCAGGGGATTTCTACGGCGAATTCTCTCAATTGTACAATTTCTCCCTGATATCGACACGAGTCTTCTTCGCTACGTAATTACGTTATTTCCACTGGCACGTGGCTCCGTGAGATCCTCCACAGAGCCAAATTGATTGTCACTGTGTCCAGGATCACTAGTGTAACCAGAGAACGATCCACCAGGTGCACTGTGTGCTGTCGGGATCACTTGATCTGGCAGAAGAGAAGTTCGCTCGTTGACGTGCCCCCAGGTCTGTTGATAAGCTCCACGACCCCGAATTCTTCGACTGAGAGACGAACCAACAACACTGAAATGCTCTTTTATGTCGTTGTGAACGTCCGAGACGTCCCACATCGCCCTGAATCAATGAAATCATTTTAAAACCAAATAACTCCCCTTGAAATGTAAAATATTTACTCGTAGTCCTGCCTGTTTTACCTGAATGCATCCCACCAGGGCTCACCCTGTGCTAAATTAACGTATGGCTTGTAACTAAAGCTGTAGTGATGAGCCACAGCCGCCAGGAACATCTCAATGCAGATAAGGAAGTCTTGGAGTTTAGCAGAAATATGTCTAATGTCATCAGTATTATCAGTGTCAAAGATATTCGATATCACACCGCAATACACCAGTATTGCTATCAGAACACCTTGACTGTAATATTCATGATCAAATAAATTGAAAGAATAATTTCTCACAACAGTTATTGTAGCATTAACTCACAAAAACGAGAAGAAGACCACAGCTTTGATACACAAAAATTTTCCAATAGGCTTCATTGGCTCGAGAGCTTCGGCATTGGCTCGATAGAAGAGTACCAGGCAGTACATTGCCACAAATTGGGATAAATTATTGAAAGCAATCATGTAGGGGAAGGCAACATCCCCACGAAATTCGCCTTCCCCATAAACTTCATTCAAGGCGCATATGCTGAAAGGCAATTACCAAAATTAAGATTACTGATACGAAGATGCAATTCGCGTTAATTAACTCACAATGAAATTAATGTGGACAAAGGCCTGACAACGGCGTACTGAAGTATTCCATGTTTACACATGTGCACAAATTCGTGTCCCATTTCCCAATCTGGAATACAGCAGAGTGGAAACATGTGATGAACTTGTGGTGACATCTCCAATCTGTGCTCCAGCTGATGATCGGCGTTGAGGTAGGCCAACAGGTACATCATAAAATTGTATATTACATACGCCTCGTAACACTCACGCAAACTGTCCACGTAAATACTTATTTTCGGGTAAATTAAACCTAGCCACTGAAATGAAAAAACCATTGGAACTTCATTATTGTCAATGAATGACGGGAGAAATAAATACTTCAGATTTGTTTTTCTTACAGCATTTACTGCATAAATTGGCACCATCCACAGGATTCTGTCGTAAGAAACATTAAACACACGAAGAATTATCTTAAAGTGATAAAAACGTGAGATATTCGTTCAATAATATTACAGACTAAAATAAGTCATGGCTTCGATAATTCAGTGGATAATTCCGTAAAGGGGAATTGCATTTATTCAGCACGTACGGACTTTAATTATTAAATTAATTCATTGAGAAATTAATTGTAATAGTAAAGCCGTTGCATACCTGATGATGTACTTCTGCAACCTCGGTTGTGTGTAATGAATCATATGCTGGATTATTTCATAAAAAGCTATGGGTAAAGCTAAAAGGGCGAATCCACCGCCGAGAAGAGCACCCTGATCCTCTTTTTTAAAACCATTCTGCATGGATTTTGTTAACAATATGGGCACTAATATACATATCAAAAGTGCATAAAGGCCTGTGAGCACTGGCAAAATCCATATTCGCCAGCGGCGAAAAATATTGGCCATTTCTTATCGCATGTGAAACAATCGTATCAAAATGTCACATAGTTCCCCCGTTAATCCGCCCCTGCAAAAGTGATTAAACGATGATTATTTTTCGTTATTAATTGCCTAGAGGAAATAAATATTTATAGCAGTTGAATTTTTGCCTTCCACGTAATGTCTGAACATGAAAAAATATCAGGACAATTTTATTAATTAGATACTAAATGAATGACGAGTGATCCAACCAGTGATAGATATAAAATTCTGTCCCTTACATGTCTGTAATCTTCAATTATCTCGGCGAAGCCTTATCACAAATCACCGAGGTACTTTCTATATTACAAATTGATGAATTACGTATAAAGTAATTGTCCTTGAATTTAATTAAATTCAATTTTAATCTCTTCCGCTTTCTCTTTGATTAAACAGTGGAATTTACGCACCTGTCTCGAGTATCTTTAAACCTTTGTGATGTCGAAAGGTCACTCGGGGAATTCGAAAGAAACTACTGAGAAAGTGATTAATCCTCGAGTCTAGTGATGTAACGATTTAAAAAAATACTCATTGAAATAGAAAGGAAAAGAATGATTCATTCCTTTGTCTTTGAGGCAATTATTGTTTCATCTGAAACTTGCCGAAACACTGGATCAGCAAAAAAAACCACTCAACATTTTACCCACGAATTTTGACGTAGACTTCCCCCTCCACTTGTGTCTAAACTGTCAGTGATAGTCCTGATGAATGAACCATGATAAATGACAGATGAATTACTCTTCCCCCTTTCTAATCAAACACAACGCCGAATTACTCACGTTTGACGACAATTAACGTTGATTATTCACCGAGGATATCTCGACTTGTCTTAAAAATGCTGGTAATTAACCTTCGATGACGTAGTCCTCCAGCCTCAGCGAAATCACGAAAAGCTGCTCATAAATTCGAGGAATAAATTCTAATGAAAAATAAATTCTCCCCTTCCCGGTGTAAGATGATGATTTGGTGGAGGTGTTTCGGCTGTAAAATCCTTTAGTAAAAAAAGCATGAAAAGTGTCATGGCTTAGAGCAGAGAGGATTGACTAAAGTAGAGGCTCAGTTCTGGGGGTTTGAGTGACCCCAGCTGCATCGTAGTACTGCACCCCAAGAGAGGGAGGGCGCCACACGCAATGCTGGGGTGTTTTTTTTTATTAACCAAGTTTTTATTGCAATGCTGGCGTGTCCATCAAGTCGACGGGGTGAATTTTATTTTCTGCTGTACGAATGCTTTTTGTTTTTCATTTGTTTAACTCAAATTTAGCCCACTGTAGAACGTACGGAAGGGGGAAACCACATCTTGTGGAATTTTAATGGAAAAAATTATTCAATATGTTGAAGATATACCACTAATAAAATTATATTTACAGAATGAGCGCTTTGTCCTATCGGTAACGTGATCGGCTAGCATGCCGACGGCTGGGGGGTTCGATCCCGCCAACGTTAATTTTTTTTTTTTAATAATTCCTATTTTTTTTTTTTTGTAAATGGCTAATTAATGGAAATATTGTTTAAAAACTGAATATTTGAAAATTGAGAAGATATCCAGTGAAATTGAAAAATTAGCAATTTTTTAAACCGATACTTTTGCAAAATATATACCCCTAATGAAATTATATTGTTGCAATAGTTCGTTATCCTAGTGGTAACGTGCTCGGCTAGCACGCCGACGGCCCGGGTTCGATCCCGCCGTCATTCATTTTTTTTATTTAAATAATTCCAATGTTTTCCTTTGTAAATGGCTAATCAATCGAAATATTGGTTAAAAACTGAATAGCTCTTCGATTGTCATGTTCCCCTGATACTTTTTCAAAAATTTCGAATTTTGCACTTTCAGTGAAAATTTCAGTGAATAACTCCTCTATTGTCATGTTACCCTGATACTTTTTCAAAAATTTCGAATTTTTCACTTTCAGTGAAAATTTCAGTGAATAGCTCCTCGATTGTCATGTTCTCCTGATACTTTTACAAAAATTTCGAATTT